ACAGACAGCAAGCTGGGGGCTCCCTCCTGGGCTGGGCATTTGCCACCTAGCGTCAGGCTCTTGATGGGGGCGGTGTCCAGTGGGCCCCCACGGCAGACAGCACCTCTGCGGGAGACAGTTTCCACCCAACCCAGAAGCATCACCTCACCGTGTCTAAGACCCCATCAACTGTCAGATACCCTCATTTCAGTGATGTTAAAATGGCGGGGGGGGGGGGCAGATGTGCTCTTAGAATCTTTAATAAGTGGTATTTTCACATCCAGAACAGCCTTAACAGTGTGGCACTGAAAAGCACCAAGGCTGTCAGGGTCTCCCCCCGCTGGAACAACCACACACCAGAGGCTGTGGGGACAGCCTGTCCCAGGGCGTGCTCCCCCACCGTCCCTGGGAACTCCAGCGGGGAGGGAAGCTGGCTCTTCAAAACACATCTCTGAGCCGTGACCGTCGTTCTTGCCCCCGATGAATGTTCCTCGGTGCCTGACAACCGGACACGTGCTAGAGCTAACTATGCCATCTCCGGCCGCCGCCAGCTGACAACGAGCAGGTGAAGGACGGGGGATTTATGGACTCAATGATTCCCTTGCATCAGCATGGATGACATCCTCCTGGACCGAGGCAGGAAAACTCCAAAAACCTGTGTCTGCACGGACGTTGTAATTGTGCGTGGAAGGGCACACATGTGGGGCGGGCGCACACCTGACGGGCACCGAGCAGCTCATGTCATGTGCTGCTCAGCTGGTTAAAGATGGTGGAGCCTTCTGCCTTTGGTCTTATTTCTTTCTAAAGTTTGGTTTTGCTATTAGAATCTCAGCTCTTGATGGAGAGGAGCCGGAAGCAGTGACAGACCATATTCTCGGCTTTGGATTCCCTGTCCTACTTAGACGTTTGCGTCTGGGGTGGGGGGCGCATTGTGTCATCTCTGTCTTACACCCTCCCCAGCACCACCGACGCTGAACAAATAGCCTGAGATGTGACGTCTAAGGCTTACACAGGCTCATTTATCAAAATGCTGTCACCAGGCCCAGAGTCAATGACTGGGTCTCAGCTTGCTCATGGTGGCATTCTGATGTGTTTCAGAGAAGGTTCAGTTCCTCCTGACACCCCGCCCTCACCCCCTGGCCATCCCAGAAAACTAGCAAAATCCGGAACACTTCCGACGACACTCAGCTCCCCCTAAGACTCGAAAAACTACTGGACGATGCACTGTGTGTATCTCCTGACCAAAGAGAGTCATTCTGCCTCACACCCATCCATCGCTCCACGAGGGCATCCTGCATAGGACCTCAGATGGGGAGCAACCTCTTCGCATGCTCTGTCTCACTCGAGTTTGAGACTGTAAAGCAGTTCCGTTTTCAAGGTGAGCAAACGGACACCCAGAAATGTGAAGCGACATTTCATTGACGCGGGAGGAAGCAAGGGGGACGGGGGGCGGGGGAGAGAGATAGAAGATCAAAAAATTTTTTAAAGAGCAAATGAAAGCACAGCTGGAACTGGAACTTAAGACTCGGGACCCTGCCTCATCTATCACGGAACCACTTTTCCAGCAGTTCGTCAATCCCTCAGCCCCATCTGGTAACAGTGGCAGGGCTGGAGACCCCCAACTTTCAGTACTATGGGCGATCCCGAAGCGTCGATAGGGAAGCATTAGTAGCCACAGGCAATAGTGATCTTTACACACCACGGACTTTCCCAGGGCACTTGCCCACACGGGGTTACATTCATTCTGCAAAACCACCTTCTGCGATGTGGCTGCGGCCCCATTCTAGGAGGAAGCCAAGATGCAGGGGTACCATGGTGGCCCGATCCCGCAGCGTCTGGAGGCCCTCTCCGGTTCCCTCGTCAGCCTGCCGTCACTTTGCCTACCTGTCCAAGCCTCCAGCCGACGCCATCCCGTAGGCTCGGCTGCCACCATGGGGAGGAAATTGGGAGAGGGGAACCAGGCCAGATGCGCAGGGGATGAAACTCAGAGAAACCTCTAAGGTTTCTTAGGGCTGGCTCTCCGAGGGTGGCACGAACTGGGCTGGTTCCCAAGAGGGGCTCGGGGTCCACACAAGGCAGGCACAGATTCTGCCACCTGGTCTCTCTGGCTGTATCACTCCACCTTCAGGCTCCAGGCGTCACCTCTCCACTCAGCTCCACAGAAAGCAGGCTTTCCTTCGGGCTGGGACTGAAGTTGGGTTTTCCCACTGTCCCTCTGTAGTGGGGCCTTGGGACCCAGGAAGTTGCCCCCGGGGGCTTGGCCGTGGGCAGATTATAATGCGATCCATGCCCTACTACTGTGCCATGCTGAAGCCCACCTCTGGAAAAGTCTGCCAGGGCTCTTTGGCCATGTCTACCTGGTGGGCACCGGCCCTACAGTGGCCAGCTGTGCAGAGTGGGAGTCAGAGCACTTGGCTGGAAACGCACAAGCAACCGTTCACGTGCGCACACACACGAGAGCATGTGGATTTCGGTGGGATACTGCATGCCAGTGACTTCTGGCTTACCAATTTGCTTTGCAACCCCCTTTCAGGTGCTCTCCGCTTTGGGGGCTGCAGTTTTCACACCTGTGAAATGATGGGCCGTGGGCAGAAAAGAGGAGCATCCTATCACCTGCTGTCCAAACTCACAGAATTTGGGGATAAAGTGAGAACGTGGGTTTTAAAGGATCCCAGGAATCCTTGTCACTTCTGCAAATTAATGCACATTTCTTGACTAGTAATAAAGGATAAAGCACAAACAGAGAAATGTTCTGGGAAGTCTGAAAACAGCACCCAAATGGGGCAGTATTACCTAGAAATGGCAATCCACAACCAAACCCCCGGACTCTGAGGGTGTGGGTCTGCAACAGAGAGAAACGCAAACCACACAGCCCTTTCCTGAGCTATACACTCCCGGCTCTCCTGGGGAAGTGGCGGGATGGGGCAGTCTGCGCCAGACCTCTGGGCTCATCGTTCTAGAAATACAAAGGCTGAGAGGGAGGGTAACTCAGACCCTGGGAAGTGGGGTGGAGGAGAGAAGTGGAGCTGTCAGTGTGCTTAATGTTAAATAAAACCTACCAAGACTCAGCTGAGAATTTTAGCAGAATCCAAATGTGCTAAAAAAAAAAAAAAAAAGGCACAGCTCCCATCTCTAAGGTTCACAGCTAAGCTGGCTTAGAATCACACATGCCAAGGTTAAAAATAAAAAGCAGCCATCCCTGAATGACATGGGCTCTGGGAAGGAAGGCTGGGGTAAGTTGTTTGCTGGTGAACCCAGGAGAGGGAAGTGCAAAGGCTGGGTGTGGGGTACCGGTGTTTATTGGAAGACACAATATCTAAAAGCCAGATGCTCAGAATTTTGCTATTTTGCACTTAAAAGGCACTTTGTAGTGGCAAAGGGTTTCATAATAATCTTCAGATTTTCCATTGAGGAAAGCCTGCTGTGCATTAGAGCGTGACCACGGCTGACCCACACAGGGTTCTGCTGCTCCACGCATTTGCCTCCCTCACCCTGAGGTCTGGCTCTGAAGCCGTCCTCGCACACCTTGTACACCCAGGTAGGATGCCTGTGGGTCAGAGCGTGGAAAGCACCAGACCTGTGTCACTCTATTCCATTAAGCCAACATAGCGGTGTCGGGACCACCAACAGACCGGGGATCCCCTGCTGGGCTCCACGGGAGAGAATGTGTGTCCGCCTCCTGAGGACAGTGTCTGTCCCATCCCTTGGCCCCATAACCACAAACACCGCAAGTCAGGCCTATCGGCCCCGCTACCCCCTTACAAATCCAGGGCCCCTTAGATGAGCCCAGTGGGGTCCCCCTTCTAACGAAGTTTTCATTTGTCCAATATGCTTATGACTTCTACTCCCTAAAGGGCTTATTTTTATAAACATTTTTAAAAATTAGCTCTAGTTCCTGTGTCAGCTACCATGTTATTCCTCCCCAGCTGTATGACTACACAGACATTTCAGATGGTCTTCAAGGGGTCAGGTGATGATGGGAATTCTGTGACCCATGTGGTATGGGGAGTCCCTACATTACACCACCCTGGGGGATGCCCTGATTCAGCCCACATTTGGGCCAGTCTTACACCACGGCACCATGCAGGGATTGGGAGCCGATGGGCACTGAACAGGAGAGGCAGTCACCTTCCAGAAGCTTCAGGCGATCCCTAGACACCACTAGCCTTGGTGACTGTCATCCCTGGCAGGGCAACAGAGGACTGGACAGTCTCTGACTGGCTCTCCCCAGGATTCAGCCAACCCTTATCTGAGCTGCCCACCAGTATCCCAAATTCCACACCCTGGCTGCTGGTTTGGAAGTACCACCCAGGGACAGGTGTATTTTTCACACTCTGAAGGCACTTGAGAAAGACCTCAGAAAGCAGATAAGGGCAGGGACAGTTTTCCTGCCCATTACGATGGATGAGAAAATCGAGGCTCAAAGAGTTTCAAATACTTGCTCAAGCTAAGTCACAGAGCATGACTGAAATCCAAGGTTCCCTTCCACCACTCAAGACCAGTAACTCAGAGTCAGAGCGACTGGGCGCTCTCAGTGGAGGTACAGCGGCGAACACCGGGAGCTGGGAATGAACCTCCGGAAGGGACCTTCCTCATCCCCACACCTCTCCTTGGGCCTCTCCACCCAAGCGCGGGGCCCTGCCACAAGGGGGCCCTCTTGTGACCTTCCCTGCTCAGGGTCCTTCAGATGCCTGTTAAGATTGGCAAAGGTCAGGAGAGGACCCCCTTCCCCGGGCACCCTGCTCCACCCGAGACTGCACAAGGAGGCAGCCCACCGGCTCGCCCCGAGGTTTTGGTTAGAGATCCCCCTTCCCTTCCGGCGCCTCCAAAAACAACTGTCCTTTGCCGTTCGGGAACGCGCCGTGGTCTACACCATCCCTGGGAAGTTCTGAGTAAATCCTGCTGGAGTCCCCCCCACCCCAGGTGTCAGCCTGAACCCACACAGCAAACCGGATTAAGACGACACAGGAGGAGGCCCTAAGGATGAACCCGACTGGGCACCCGACGCGCCCGCTCCTTACCTGTACCAGTCGAGCCCGCGGCCGTAGTTCCTGTCGAAGAAGTGTGGCTCCGTGCCCAGGGCCCGCACGTCCGGGTGCACGCGGATGAACTCCAGCACGGCCCGCGTGCCCCCCTTCTTCACGCCCACGATGAGGGCTTGGGGCAGTCGCTTGGTGCCCATCCTGGCCGAGCCCGAGTGGTTGGCAGCCGGGAGGCGAGGGCCAGACGCGGCGGCGGCGACGGGCGCGCTGGGAGTGGGCCCCGGGGGATCGCAGGGGCGGGACTTCGGGAGAAGTTTCTGGCCGTCCGCGCCGGGGCCGCGCAGGCAGCGAGGCGCGCCGAGGAGGCGGCTCTGGCCCAGGTCGTCGCAGCAGCACAGGAGGCTGTAGCACAGGTAAGTGCAGGAGAGCGAGAGCGTGAAGGCGAAGAGCAGCCTGCGCGCCCTCCGCGGCTGAGCTGGCCCCGCGCGGCCCAGGACCCTATAGGCCATGGCTCCATGGGCCCGCGCCGGGGGTCATGGTTTCCGGGGGGCGCCGGCGGCGGAGCTGCTGTGGCCCTGCGGCCGCCTAGAGGGCTGGCGCGGCGCTGCCCCGGCCCCGCGGGTCGGGCGTGGGGGGCGCCGTCTTCTCCGGGCGCTGCCGGCCGGGGCGCGCACCATGCCCGGGGATCCCGGGGGCGGCGGCTCCTCGGAGCACAGGCGGCTGCGCGTCCCACATCTCCCCGTCCCGGGCCACGGGGCTCCGGACGGCGTTCCTTGGGTCTCACGTGCGCCGGCTTCGGAGTGCGCCCAACGCACGAAGCTCCATGCCGGGCCCCTGGAGCGCGGCGCCCCGAACGCTCCGCGGCGGCGCGGCCGCGCGGGCTGGCGGGCGGACCGGACGGTGGCGCTGGCGCGGGCCCCGCTCGGGCTCCTCGAGAAATGCCGAGCCGCGCGCGCTGCCGGCTCTATTTAAGGAGTCGCCTGACGTCAGCCGCGCGGGTCCCCCGAGCCCGCGCCCCGCCCTGGGACCTGGCCCGCCCCCTGCGCCCCCAGTCTCCTGCCCCTCCCAGGGACTCGCTACCGCGGGCCCTGCCCGCGCTGGCCGCTCCCTGAACCGGCTTGGGCTGACGAGACATTTACTCCTTCGGGGGGCTGAACGCCCCCACCACCCCCAAGACAGGGAACCCCGGTCCAGGTTGCGCCAACATCCAGACCCGGGCGCAGACGCAAGCACTCTACACTGATACACGCTCCCACCACACTGACACACACGTACGCACACACACAGGTACACACGTACCCTGACCAGGACACACCCCCTCACCCCACATGGGCGTGGAAACACGACAGGGACCCACCCCTGTCCCCCTCATCCCCATCTTACCACACACACAGCCTGGAATCGGACATCGTGCCGTGTGCGAACACACGCGCGGGACTGGGACACACGCTCTAGACGGGGATGGGTGGAGGAGCCGAGCGTGAGTGAGATTCCGTGACTATTCACGGAGCTCCCTAGCCCCCCGCGCGCTGACTCATACGCAGGCGGCTCGCTCTGTCTCACACCCGTGAAGAATGCGCCCCCACCCCACTGTCACCCCACCGTTCCTGGGACGTGTCGAGAGAGTGAGCCCCCAAAGGAGCGGACTCGCGCGGGGCTGGTTCCTCTCTTAGCGGCCGCCCCCTAGCGGCGGACTGCTCCCAGGGGAGCTGTTCTGAGGTCCCACAGCGTCCCTAAGATCCAGAGTGCTGCAGATTTCACCCAGGGACACGAGGAGGAAACAGAGGGGAGGACTGATCCAGGAACAATTCCACGTTGGGTTCGAATGATTCCCAAGTAATTGCCCCCAGGGACCATGCCCAGACCTGGCTTGTGTGACCGAACCCAGTGCTGCCCTGAGTGGCCACCTTAGTGGATCAGAGCAGACCTAAAGGACCGTGCCCAGGAACGCAGTTGTCACCCCACAGCAATGCCAAATCCCCGTGCCTGGACGTTCACCAAGTGCTACCCCCGAAGAATGTCTGAGTGACCATCTCCTCTACTCTCTCCTCCCACAAACTAATAAACATCCTTCTTCAGGGAATGGCCTGATCAGGCTCTGTGGACCTTAGCCCAAGCCAGGGAATATTCTGTCCCCAAACCAGGCCCATCCTAGAAACCTTAGGCCAATCCTTCTATTACAGATCATAACTACCAACTTTGTTTCAAGCCCTCCCATGTTAACTCCTTTGCTTGTTACCATTATCCTCACATCACCTCCCTTTCTTAATTCTCATAGTAGGTAACAATTATTGGGTGGTTGTCCAGTGCCGGTAATGCGTGTATCACTTGACATGTTCTACCTCCTTAGTCTTTGGAGATAGGTGCTCATTTATAATTCCTAATTTACAGACAGTGCGATAAAGGCTTAAAGAACACATAGTCAGTAGGGCTAGAGTTAACCTGACTCCAGGATTCAAGCTCTTAAATGACAGTGCTTTACAATTCCCTCTCTTCTTTTGATCATTCCTAATAGCATTCCATCCTAGGCTCCTCTCCCAGGTGTAAACTAACATCTGTATTACCTCCAAAACCTGACAGCTGGGACCCAATGAGGACTTCCAGGTGTAGGGTGAAAAGTTCACCAGGAGGTTCACCTTCCTTCAGGAAACTCTGCCTCTAGTAATGCCACCTCTGACTCCATTATCTTTATCTTGTAGCTACATCACACTGCTGACATCTCAAACTCACAGCCAAGTTCCATCTCTAAGTGTCTCTTACAAGTGCTGCTGATTAAGGCATGTCTAACCCCATACTGTGCTTGTACAGTGGGCGTTTTTGGACCCAACATGTAGGTCCTTATGTATCTGACCTGATTAAATTTTATCTTGTCTCATCAGCTCACTGCTCCAGTTTTTAACAAATGGCTACTTGAATCTTGAATCACAGTGCAGCTTTCAGTTATTCAAAAAGAAAACGTAGAAAGGTTGAATCGCAGCAGCCTGACCCTTGATTCCTGGTGTACCTTGGGCAAGTGGGTTGACCTTTCTGAGCCTTGGTTTGCTCAGCTGTAAAATGGGGAGCTAGGATTAACTAGGAAAACCTCCTGGGGTTCCATTATTCAAGGCATGAACCACACTGCTGGCATTATGTCATCTCCGGGTTTGATTACAATTTCATTAATTCTTCAATCACATTTTTAATAATAATGTCAAAACAAATACGCTGGAAGGAGCTCTAAAATACACCTTTGACAGTTTTTCACATTGTGAACCTATTTCTGCACTTCGTTGTTAGAATTACAAGGTTAAATGTGGATTAATTCACTCTGACAAGAACTTTTTCTTGCAAAAAAAAAATTGAGTGTAGTTTTTTCTCATCATTCTCTACTTGGCTCAATTTAAAAATTATTTTTATCCTCGAATTCATAATCTGTGAAATGCCTGGGTATTCCAACCCATCAGAGCCAGGCAGACTTGCCTCTTCAGTTTTCCAACCAGAGTAGTGACCGTGATTTCAGTGGAGTTTTTCATGAGTGAGACAGCAGACATGTCTGCTCCTCATCCCCCACCCCTCTCTTTTTTCCAGAAGTACGGTGATTCTTCTTTGAGAGCATCGGGGAGGATTATGCACAGACTGGGACTGGAATCCTTCAAAACTCAGATATAGTCCTAAGATCTGGCTGCTTTCCTCTGTCTTCTTTATTCCTCTCTGGACCTTGTTTTATTTTCTTCTCACTCCTATCTGCCTTTTTGCCCCCTTTATTTATAAACCAGGAAGGGCTACTGAGTTGTGAGCAACAGAAGCTAACTTTGGGCTAATAGAAGCAGAAAGAGGGATTTGGAATAGCTCACACAGAAAAAGAACTGAGCAGTCGCTCACAGAATGAAGGTGGGGGAACAGGGCGCATACACAGGACAGCAATCACAGGACACAGATCCTCCTTTTGCCTTCCTTTCTGAGTCTTCATTTGCTCATTTGCATGAGCATTCTCTTGAATCCTCCCTTCCACTCTTACAACCTGCATTTAAGACCTTGAATTTGGGGGCACCTGGGTGGCTCAGTGGGTTAAAGCCTCTGCCTTCAGCTCAGGTCATGATCCCAGGACCCTGGGATTGAGCCCCGCATGGGGCTCTCTGCTCCACGGAGAGCCTGCTTCCTCCTCTCTCTCTGCCTGCCTCTCTGCCTACTTGTAATCTCTGTCAAATAAATAAATAAAATATTTTTTAAAAATTAAAAAAAAAGACCTTGAATTTGAAATTATTAAACAAGGAAATTTTCTTTCCCCTAAGTCTTTGGACCCAATCAAGCCTTATTCAGCCGTATTTCCATGTAAGTTTCCATTCTGTTCCCCCTAGAGCCTAGTTTTGTAAAGTGTGAGAAAATGTTCCAAACAGGGTGGTTCCTAAGAGACCAAGAACCGTGAAATGGACTCCCACGGTCTTGCAGGTTGCGTGAGGTGCAGAGTTCACATCTGAGCTGGAGGGTGTGCATGAATATTCTACCTTTAGGAACAGACTGGGAGTGAGGATGAGAGGTTTTCCGCGTGCTCCATTCTCTGGCTGAAGTCAGAGAGCGAAAATTCAAGGGACCAGATGCTGCCTACAGAAGGGAACCAAATCTGAAAGGCCAGGAACCATGGCTAAGTACTTTGTAAGCTTCCAAACCTTCTGTCATCTCCATGTGAGTGCACTTGTGCCGTCAGCAGCATTCATCATCAACGTAATAGCCACGAAGTATTGAGCATTTATTTATTCAGCACCAGGCCCTGGGCTCAGCATTCAGATGCAGTACCTCATTTAATCCTCGCAACAGGCCAATGAGATAGGGCTTATTAGTATTCCTATCTTATAAATGTGGAAGCCATCTCAAGGAGGTTGATTTTTCCCTTGTTCTCCCAGATGCTATAGGCTGGAGAAGGGGACAACCAGTGGGGGTGAGGGAAGCCTCAATGGGGCACCTGGGCGGCTCGGTTGGTTAAGTGTCTCACTCTTGATTTTTGGCTCAGGTCATGATCTCAGGGTCATGAGATCCAGCCCCGAGTCGGGCTCCACGGTCAGCAAGGAGTCTGCTTGAGATTCCCTCTCCCCCCTCAGCCCCTCCCCCCGCACGCACACTCTCCCGCCCCCCCCCCCCAAAATCAATCAAACTTAAAAAAAAAAAAAAGCCCAAATAGGGAGGCTGATGATCAGTTTCACCCACAGCCTTCCCTTGGGTCAGAACTGCCTCGTGCCCCACCTCCCATCCTGCATTATGTAAACCCACACAATCTTCTGTTCCCCCTATCTTACCATCTTGCGTTCTTAATGTGATGGTAAACTCCTTGGGGGCCAGGGACTAAATGGCTAGTTCCCGATCAGCCTGGTACTTAGAACCTGGGCTGCATATTCATGCTGGGACTTCCCCTGGATTCCCGATCTCCTTTCTCCTCCTTGATGGACCATGGACCACTAACTACTACCCTGTTAGGGGTAGGCTTCCAAGAAAGAACGAATATTTCATTTCAAAATTGACCCAAAGTGGATTATTT